GGGCCAGTTTCAAGGCGGGGCTTAGCCTGAAGGGCCTCTGTGAGCCGAATGTCGCGGCAGGTGGCCTCAAGCCCCCCACCAGGTCCCCCCGGTTGACAGCCGGGGTTTCCACAAGGGTGAGAGACTTGAGCCAAAATGGCCTCTCTCTCTCTCTCTCTCTGTCTCTCTCACACTTACAAGTTACTTCTCTTCTTCAGCACAGTCTAAAAGGTACGAGCAGCCCTCGCACTCTCTTTTCTTTTGTCTTTCTTTCTGCTGGGCTGAGGGGTCGTCTTGCGACCCTCAGGCCATCGGCCCACTCAGCCACCCCCCGTATTGGCCAGCTTTCGACTCTCACAACTCGCACAAGGCAGGCAAGGCTCCACATGATCCAATCGAGAGACTAGTGACAACTGGGCCTGTACTTGCAGCATGTGATCATCCGTGTTGATATGATTCATGATTTTCTTTGCCGAGCTGTTGCAGCCTGCGATCATCTGTATTGATGTGGTTTATGAGTCTCTTTTCTGACCAGCTCAAGGGGAGATTGCAAAGTACGATACCACGCTCGTGTCTTGACTTTTGAAACAGATAGAGCAATGTCTCAAATGCAGTTGTGATACCTTGGAGCCGGGGACTACCTGGGTGTTAGGGTCCTAGGCTGGTTCTGGTTTGTGCAGTCGCCGGCTTTAGGGTCTGCTGCTCGGCAACGACTGCTGGGTCGGCCTCGTGCTTCTGAGCTGCGAGTGCCGCTCTCTCTTGCTGTCTCTTCACTTCACTCCACTCCGGCCGTGGCTACATCCCCTCGCTACGACGGCAGGCCAAGGCTTTCCCTACACAACCTGCAAACAGCGCACTGAGGTCCCGGGCGTAGTCAGAAACCTAGAAAACAGTTTCAAACCCAAGCCAGTGGCCTGACTTCAGAGTAGCGGGGCTGTGATCTTTCCGTCTCTCTCTCTCTCTCTCTCTCGCAAGGATATTTTCAGATCCTTCTCAGGACGAGCGCGATGGTTCTGGGATTCTAGGAAGTATGGCATACAGGCATCCTACATGCAGCAATCCAACCACAGGTTGCTCCGCTTAGCAAGCTGGACTCCCCCCAACGACAGTTGATCAAGGAGCGCATCTCACTTGACACTCGTAGCCCTCAGCCCGTGCCTCACGTTCTCCAGGACCATGTTCGAATGCCGATCGAACGCCTTGACTCGGGCCAAGATCTTCCGATTGTTGCGGCAGTTGATGAGCACCTCGCTTCGAGAATTCTGGGGCCGGGGAACCTGATCGTCCCTTTTGTCTCGGCTCCGACGGGACCAACACAGCTACACACTGCCTGCGAGAGAGCCGGCGTCGTATGCTTGACAAGCATTGAAAGCTACGTAAATAGGGCTAAGGCTTTGCTATAAGGCTGCCGGAAAACCAAACGTGTCTTTCGACGAGTCAGACTATGTTTCCCAGACTTGTCGTCAGGTGAGTCCTCGCACCTGCGAGTTGTCCTTGACGCACTTCTGCAAGACAGACCTGAGTTGCAGCCGCTGCCACCCCTTCTGCCACACTGACCTTCCTCTGATCACTGGAGGAATCTCCAAGTGCTGGAATTCAATGCCGCCCCATGCGATGGTGCATCTGCGCACTTATTTTCTTTCAGAGCCCATCAAACAGGTCCGTCATTTCGGCAGCCTCCTTGTCAACATTATATTTTGAGATGCGAGGACTCGCGAAGACCGCAGAACTGAAACGTGAAGGCAACGCTGCACGCGCCGGGCTGCCACCTGTCCTCCACCTGCTCGGCCACGGGTCCCAGGGGCAAGAACTCCCGCAGCAGCCGGAGCGTGGCTGGAGCAATGCGAGACTCCACAGCCTGCCTGGCGTTGTTAAGGAAATCTCACACAGGCCCACCCTCAGCGCCTGACTGCACCCCACCCCCCACCCCCCCCCCCCCTTTGGCCTCTCGA